TCAGCAGGGAGCCTGCTTTCTCCTCTCTTTCTGCCTGCCTCTCTGCCCACTTGTGATCTCTGTCAAATAAATAAATAAAAATCTTAAAAAAAAAAAAAAAACAAAAACACATCCCTTGTTGATCTTAATATATATTTTATTGTTCCCATCCAGTCCTTGTTAATGCCCATCACATTATTCACTGTAAAAGATTTTTACTAAACACACTGGTACATGTATATAGTCTACGCAGAGTAAAGCACTGACTTTATCAATACTTCAATACTTAAAAATTTACTTTCCTTGGTTTTAATTTTTTAATGTGTACCCTCCTGCCATCTTCATAGTGGAATATTAATGCTTTGAAGTATTAGAAACATAGAAACTCTAAATTGGACCAATCCAAGGAAAAGAAGTGAAGTTTTGCCTCTTTAAAATCAACGTAACAGGGGCACCTGGGTGGCTCAGTTGGTTAACCAGTTGCCTTCAGCTCAGGTCATGATGCTGGAGTCCTTGAATCGAGTCCCGCATCCGGCTCCCTGCTCAGCAGAGAGCCTGGTTCTCCCTCTCCCTCTGCCTGCTGCTCTGCCTACTTGTGATCTCTATCTCTCTGTTAAATAATAAATAAAATCTTAAAATAAAATAAAATAAACCTAACACATCATACCTTAGTACTGAAATTTCCCTAATTCTAGAGTGAGAGGGGCTCCTTGGCCACCTGCTTACACTAGGCCCTGACAAGCATTTTATTAACACTCAAATGCAGTTACCAGGATGTTACCACTGCTTGTACATAGCAGAATTCTATTTTTTCTCCCATGCTGATTTTATCTCAAGGCGTGAAAGGGCAAGACAGTGGTCTGAGGCCAAATGTGAAAAATGTCATCTCCACAAATGAGGAGAAAAGTCAAGAGCTTCTTAAAAACTAGTTTGTAAAACCAGACTGTCTCCACCCTAGAGACTGCGGTACCAAAAGTGGTCCTTAGGAACAAGGGTTGAAGAGCTTGAAACGAGTTACCAGTATGGTTCATCTTTTTCTTATTTCAGGGTTATTTTTGCTTTTTTAACTTTTTTTAAAATGAAATCAGACTATGACTATATTTGAGCATAGCTAAGGCCGGGTATGGGCAGTGCCAAGGAAGAGACAGCGCAAAGGCTTTAGGGTACCCAATCTCAGTAGCAGACTTACGGATCTTCGGGGGAGGGAAAGTTACAACACCCCTGGCCTTTTCCCTTACCCAAACCCCCAGAATGACACCGCAAACCACTTCCTTCTGGGAACTGAAGGTCATAAGCTTTAAGGGACAATGGAGCTCCATGTAGGCTCCAGAAAGATGGAGACAGCGAGATGAGATGGGGGGCAGGGAAGTGGGGGTGAAGGCATGCGCCCATTCTGAAAGAGTGAATAGGGCGATCCAGGCCAGGACTTCAGGAGGATGAAAAGGCCTGGATCTTCCAGAATCTGCCTAAGTAGGCCTGTCACAGCCCTCTGAGCAGCCCGAGGTGCTCGTCTGGAAATCTAGGGCATCAATGTAGCCAGTGCCTGTAACCGCTCTGCTCGGGAGGGGGGATGGTACCCGAAGGAGCCCTCCCCCCAAACTGGGGTTTTGCCTGTCCTTTAAAAAACCCCACAAACCCTCAAGGAAATAACCTGAACATTTATAGGGGTGGAGGGGCCAGAGGAAAAGTAAGGCGTTCAGCAAATGTTGCGGGTTGGGGGTGGTCAGAAGGACAGGGAGGCCCCCCCCAGTACGAGAAACTTGAATTACCACCGGAATGGGGGGAGGGGGCGATGTGAGGCCCGCAAGCCTCAAGAACAGAAGAGGCCGGGAGCCGCGTCCAGCCGCGTCCCCCGTGTCGGGGGCTGACGGCCTTGGGCGCGGTCGCCGGGGGAAGGGGCACCCGCGGGCCGGGGACCCGGGGGGGCGCGCGGCCTCGAGGCCGACCTAGGCCTCGGGGGTCCGGACACACCCACCGCCGCGGCCGGGGCCCCTCTTACCTGCTCTTCCTCCGCGGTCAGCTCCGGCGCCATGTCGGGCTGGGGCGCGGTCGAGGGCTCCATCCCGCCGCCGCCGCCCGGCCGACCGAACGCGCCCGGGAGCGCGGGGAGCCGGGAGCAGCCGGCCGCCGCTTCCGCGTCTCCGCGCCTCAGCAGCCCGAGGCTGGCTCGCTCATGCTGGGGCCGGTGGGGCCGGGCGGCCGCGAACGCCGCTTCTGTCTCCTCAGGGAAAAGCTCTCACAACTGTCGCTCTTTTCAAGGCGGAAATCCTTTTTTATTTTCTTCGCTCCTTTCCCCGCACTCCCCCTCCTCTCCCGGAAAAAAAACAAAACAAAACAAAACAAACAAAACCGAGGTGCCGGAGAGGAGCTAACAGCCGAGCGGGATTTCAAAAGGAAATAAGGAACTCAAGAACTTTCTACGCCCGGAGCAGGGGCTCGCGGCGGAAATTTCCCGAAGGCCACCGGCCTCCTCGTCGTCCTGCCTTCCCCGGCCGCGCTCCCGCTCCTCCGGAGCGTGACGAGGAGTCCTCGGCGACGCGGGCCCCGGCGACCTGCGCGGCGGCGGCCTCCCAACCCCGTTCCTCAAAAGCCGCGGCGGCGGGAGGGAGGGAAGGGGAGAGGGAGCGAGGAAGAGGCGCCCCCCTCCGGGCTCAGGGCCAGCGCTGCGGCCGCACCGCGTCCGCCCGAGCCCCCCGCGGCTCCATTGAGAAACCAAGCGTCTCATTCACAAACAGGCGGCGGAGAGGGCGGGCGGCGCGCGGACGCTGTCCGGGAGGGGGAGACAGAGAGGAGCCGGGGCTGGGGAAGCAGTGGGCGGGGGAGGGGAGACCGCAGGGACCCGCGCGGGGAGGGGCTTGCGCGACTCGGGGCTTCGGGGACGCGGAACCCGGTAGGAAAGGGCCGTGAGTTTCACGCTTCAGCCCGGTGGAGGAGGAAGGGAATGCATTCGTCTGAAAACGCCGCCGGGGTGACTTGCTGCCCCCGGACGTCTAAGCGACCCACAATGCTCCTCTAGCTCCGTGTCGCTTGCTGACTGAAAGACCCTGTGAGCGCTGCCTGGAGGTGTAGGCTTCTAGTGAAGGAACAGACCCTGCTAAATCGAGACGCGCACGCCCTCCTTCTCTTTGCCGGCCGTGTCTTGTTCTTCCTGGCCAGTACGGCTGTATTTTAGTCCCTCACAAAAGCAGCAACGGGTTTCAAACCTCATTCAAGAAATCACGCAACCTTTGCAAACCTTAGATTTTCACTCCGGCAACCACAGCAAAGAGCTTGTGGGTGTTACAGAATACAGTCTTGGAGTCAGTTTGAGAGACATAGGGAAGGCCGGGCTGGTCAGCTCCGTCGTTGCATCATTTCAGACCAAAAAGAAATATTCCAGCAGGGTTCCAGCTAACAAGCAACAGCTAGTCCCAAGGGCTAGAGCCCTGGAGAGCTAGGAGAGAGACCCAAAGGAGAGGTCTACAGACAACCAAGGAAGGTGCTCTGGCTTCTGATGCGCCTTCTAGGACTTCAGAAGTAACCTCTGACTTCACCTCTTTTCTGCATCATTGCAATAGGAACTTCGGGTTGTCCTTGGTTAGAAAAGTATTGTGCACGGACTTGTCACGATTTCAAATCCATGTTTTTGAAAGTTTGTTTTGGACAAAGTTATTTGTGGTTTGAATTTGTTGTGATGACATTGTTTTGAAGTTGGGTTTTAGGACTTTCTTATCGAACTATTGCACCTGGAGTGGAGAGGAACATTACATCACTGCCACCATAGTAACAGCAGTGGTGTCCATCATGTGATGGCCTTTTAAACTTTAAAAATCAGGAGCTTTGACAAGTAACTCTAGAGTGTTCAGTTTGGGCAAGGCTACTCTTTGCTCACCTAAATGGCTCTCCAAAGATCTTGAGACACTTTGCTCCTACTGTGACCAGGCTAGTCATGGTTAGCAGTGGTGTTAAGGGTACAGCAGTCTGAGGAAGAGAAAAAATATCTGTTCCGGCCTTGGCCAGGCTACTCCTGTAGGCAGTGGCATAAGACATGTAAATATTCCTGAGTGATAACCTTCCCGGCAGCCCACTGGGTTGGCCAGCACCAGTGCTGTGGTCTGCTAGCCACATTCCCCAAGCAGAGAGGGACCAAACCTGACAGCTGATAGCTCACTTTTATTTGGAAGGGCTGACTGTACCAAGAACCAACTGGTAGAAATGTACACATCATCTGAATCTGGACTTTCTTTTATCCTCCCTTTGCCTGAAACAATAGTATAATTAACCTATCATTGGTTTAAGGTATGTTATTTCCTTATTGACTTATTAAGAGACATTATCCTGTATGCTACTGGCTTGTAAAATATTACTGTAAGTTATAATTCCTGCAGTGAAACTGTGTTAAATTATTGGCAAAGATAATGTCAGGCGCTGAGCATAATTTGCTATGAATAAAACAAGTAAGCCCTGGTACTTGGATCTGTTTCTATCTCAGGTAGGCCATCATCCCAACAGTCTATTTAGTAAACAAGTACATTTTTATGCCATGCACTGGGCTATCCACTGCGGTTACAACAATGAAGAAGACATGGTCTCTTCCACACATGAGGATATGGAATGATCCTTGAGTTGTATTTTGAAGTGGAAACAGCAAGACTCAAATAGTACACATAATGATGACACTTGTACAAAGAAAGAAAAAGAACATATAAACTTATTAAACTTATTTATACATAGAAAAGGTTTGGTAGGGTACACAAGAAAGGTCACTGAGTGTCTTTCAAGAGGGGAAGGAAGGGAAAGACTTTCCCCTATATGGTCTTTTGTACATTTTAAGTTGTTGGGTTTTTTTTTAACTTTTTATTGAAATGTAATATACATACAGAAAGGAGAAAATGTAAGTATACACCATGATGACTTTTCACTCATGTAACCAGCACACAGATCAAGAAATAGAACATCCCTGACTTGCCAAATTCTCCCTTATGTACTCTCCTAGTCCCTGCTCTCCTCGAGAGTAACCACTATTTTGGCTTCTAATAGCCTAGTGTATCTGTGTTTAAATTTTTCATGTGGCTATATAACCTTTCCCCCAAAATTTTAATAATAAGTTAAATATAGTTTTTCTCCTGGAGCAGGCAGATGGCTCTAGGACTAAGCTAGAGTGGGGCACCTGGGTGGCTCAGTTGGTTAACTGTCTGCCTTTAGCTCAGGTCATGAACCCGGTGTCCCAGGATGGAGCACCACTTCTCCCTTTCACATACTCCTCCCCTGTTTGTGTGCTCTCGCGCTCTCTCTCTCTCTCTCACTAACTCTCTTTTTCAAATAAATAAATAAGATCTTAAAAAAAAAAAATAGGATGAAGCTGAAGTAGGAAATGGCAGGACCTGAGCAGTACATACCGCTGACCCAGGAGAGTTTTGCCTGGTGATCCTCAGGACACCAGGGGTCAGTGATTTATTCAAAGTCACAGCTAATTGAGCGGTATTGAGCTAGAACTCAGATCCAGGCATTCAAACTCCTAGTACAGAGATTTGGTGAAGAGAGTTAATAAAGGGAAAGGTTTAACAGAGTGAGCTAGGAAAGAGAACTCAGCAGTGTTTTCAGAGGCACAGCTGTGCATGTGGGCGTGTGGGTGTGTCAGGGAACAGTTCTCTAGAACTGCTTGCCTATTACAGTCCTAACAGGACAATGTTTGGAAGTTTCCGAGCAGATACATGGGTAACAAAACTAAGTGTAAGGGAGCTGGCTGGATTTGCTCCCGTGCAGTCATCTCAGGAGAATCAGAGTACAAAGTCTTGCCTTTAACCACAGGCTCGAGCCAACAAAACCAAGTATGGTACTGTCATCCTGCTCAGTCAAATCTTAGAGATGCCAAATGGTTTCTAACAGCAAAAGATTGGAAACAATATAATGGCCCATCAGTAGAAAACTCAGTAAATAAACTACAGTACACCTGTACACTGAAATATTAAGTTCATATTTATTTATTATGTCCCTACTATGTGCCAGGCACTGTGCTACATGACTTTCATTCATCTAACCTCACCATCAGAGTATGAGATAGCTGAAATTATCCTTATTTAAAAAAAAAAAATCGGGACGCCTGGGTGGTTCAGTGGGTTAAGCCTCTGCCTTTGACTCAGGTCAGGATCCCAGAGTCCTGGGATTGAGCCCCACAACAGGCTGGCTCAATAAAATCTCTCTCTTTTTAAAAAGATTTTATTCATTTATTTGACAGAGAGAGAGAGAGAGACATCACAAGTAGGCAGAGAGACAGGCAGAGAGAGAGGGGAATCAGACTCCCTGGGGAGCAGAGAGCCTGATATGGGGCTCAATCCGGGAACCCCAAGATCATGACCTGAGCTGAAGACAGAGGCTTAACCCACTGAGCCACCCAGGCACCCCTGCTCAATAAAATCTTAAAAAATAAAAATGAAAAAATAAAATCCAAAGTTCCTCCCAAACATTGCTCTAAAATGTCTACTACCTTTAGGGGCACCTGGGTGGCTCAGTGGGTTAAAGCCGCTGCCTTCGGCTCAGGTCGTGATCCCAGGGTCCTGGGATCGAGCCCCGCATCGGGCTCTCTGCTCAGCAGGGAGCCTGATGCTGCTGAGGGGCTTGATCCCAAAACCCTGGAATCATGACCTGAGCTGAATGAGCTACCCAGGCACCCCTCCCCCAAAGATTCTTACTGCCTTTTTTCTAAAAGGCAAACGGATACAGGCTAAATGAGGTCACACAGCTAACTAATGTCTAGGGGGAACGTTTTCTTCTTGTTTACTCATAGGCTAAATCTATCACCACTAGAATGACTGAAGGTGTGCTCTGCAAGGAAGGTGAAAAAATCCTATCCCATGTAGATTGCATTCCCCCATTACCCAGAATACTCCAGGGACCAGTCCTTCCCTACTGCTGTTCTTAGCCGTTTTGTTTTTTTCTTTTTAAACAAGAACATGAGCTGTCTCTTTCCACATACAATTTTCTCATCTGACACCTTATGCACCACTCCTAAATCATGGGTTAATCAGCCACTATTCTGTTTGTTTTTTTTAAAGATTTTATTTATTTATTTGACACACAGAGAGAGAGAGACAGCAGCAAGAGAGGGAATACAAGCAGGGAGAATGGGAGAGGGAGAAACAGGCTTCCCGCTGAGCAGGGAGCCGGATGTGAGTCTCAATCCCAGGACCCCGGGATCATGACCTGATCCTAAGGCAGATGCTTAACAACTGAACCACCCATGCGCCCCAATCAGTCACTAGTCTATGTTACTTTTGTATCTGACACCTGTGTCTAGGGTTTACCTCACACTCTGATGACAATTATTTGCTTCCTTGCCCATTTCTCCCACCTAGACCACAAGCTCCCTGGGGCCAGGGACCATGTCTTGGTCCCTTCTCTTTCTTCAGGACCTAGTGTGATACACTGCACACAGTAGGTGGTGCTCAATGTTTGCTGAAAGAATGGATCCATCCTTTTCTAGCCAACAAGGTCCAATTTTTTTTTAAAAGATTTTATTTATTTATTTGTCAGAGACAGAGGGAGAGAGAGCGAGCGAGCACAGGCAGACAGAGGCAGAGGGAGAAGCAGGCTCCCTGCCGAGCAAGGAGCCCGATGTGGGACTCGATCCCAGGATGCTGGGATCATGACCTGAGCCGAAGGCAGCCACTTAACCAACTGAGCCACCCAGGCGTCCTCAAGGTCCAATTTTTATCAAAGAATACTAAACTGGCTTGATTACTTTGGATACTCTGTTGCTTATGAAAAAACGTTC